TATTTCGATTACAAATTCTAGAAAGAGAAATGACTGGGGAAAATAATTTTAATTTTTCTAATCTAAACCAAGTTGGTTCCAGGAACCACCGACTTTCCCTGGACAGGGGGCCGACAGGTCATTCTTGTGTGCATTAAGCTTAATCTTGTTACTTGCAATATTTAAATTCTCAGCCTTATCTTAAGAAAATCGAATTCTTTCTTTGATCCAACAATCATTAAACATAGTTGTTAATTATTTAAACAAACAGTGTTTTTAACCAAATAATCAAGAATCTAGAAAGGCAGACTGCTGCCATTTTATTCCATTTCAAACATACGTTATCCATGAGAAGTCACCTCCGCAAGGTCCGCACCTCATTAGCCTTCGTTTATTATTATATATCCTGTCCTAAATAGTATAAAGTATTCTTAACTAAGAATAAAATTAGGCCTATTTAGTCCTAAAAATAAGTCAGTTATATAGTATTCATTGATATTTTTTAGTTTTATCTTTATTTATTGTTTGTTGAAAAAAGAAAAATGTGAGTATGATTTGTAAATGTAGAGAAAAAAATTTAAATGACAATACGTTTAAAATTTTATCAATTTAATATATTTGTAAAAATAAGTTATTTCTAACAAAAAATGAAAGTAATATAATTAGGGCAAAACGACCCCATGATGGCCAAGAGCAATGTTTCCGCTTTGATCTGGCAAATGAGGGGACTTCGCAGTTCGCGCGCATACACAAACATTGAAGCGATCGAATTAGATAGACTCGTCGGTTCAATTGGCCCTATCAATGCGAAATCAGTTATGGGTCAAATGAAAAGATAGGAGCTAGTCAACCATTCGGGAAAATCCAAAAAGAAAATCAGATTACATATTTTTATTTGTTTTATATTGACGATGATAGAATCGTTTGATTGCAAATTCTAGAAAGAGAAATGACTGGGGGAAAAAATTTAAAATTCTAATCTAAATCCATTTGGTTCCAGGAACCACCAGCTTTCCTTGAACCGGTGGTAGATCGATCTTTCTTGTGTGCGTTAAGCTTATTTTTTTTATTCACTATATTTAAATTCTTAATCTTATCTTAAGAAAATCGAATTCCTTCTTTGATCCAACCATCATAAAACAGAGTTGTTAATTATTTAAACAAACATTGTTTTTCCTGGTAAAAAAATAAAGTGTTTTTTAACCAAATAATCAAGAATCTAGAAAGGCAAATTGTTACTATGAAAGTGATTGGGTAGAAATAAAATCATGATTTTAAAAATATTTTTATGTTATATGAAATAAATATACAAAAAAATTTATTTCGATTTGCGAAAAAAGCACTTTTGTGAAAAAGTCGCATCACCTAGTGAGAAGTAGCTGAAGATTATTATTTTTACTATGATATTTTCAAAATGTTTATTTGAATATTACTATGGTTAATTATTTAAAATTCTTTACATTGGCTGGGTAGAGAAGCAACAGATAATTTCTAAATGAATATTCTTTTTAATTATAAGGGGTTCTAACAAAGGATAATGCTAATGAATATAATTAAATAAGATAGTTAAGAGAAAGCTTGTTACAGATAACTAATTTAATTAATTTTTTAAATTTTTTTAAATTAGCTAGTTATCTAGCTTTATTTATTTACATTTTTTTTCAGATCTTATAAGCCCTTCTCTCGTATTTTATTCCGTTTTAGAGCTTGCTTTGCATGCTATTAACCAATGATATGAAGCTCCGATGATAGGATTAACTAGGATTGGTTGACTCTATTATTTATATTTTTGAAATAATTGCAGGTCACCATAAAATTCAGTTACATAATTGGAGTTGGTTAAAAGAAAATTACATAATTGTATGGATGAAAAATACAAGCCACACTAATTGTATGGATGATTACGCAACTTGCAGGGGAAACAAATAAATAAGGTAAAAAAAAATCAAAGTCAGCAAAGATCGAATAGCCAATTCTTTAATTAAGGAAAGAAATACCCATAGATTCCACGTAAAAAAATAAATATAAACATATTTCTCAAATTTTATTTAATATTAATAGGTTTTAATGAATTCAGTATTTCCAAATTTAACTCATGAATGAAGCAATTCAAATTGTAAATACACATATTGGACTTGTAAATAATTTTAGAGTTGAAACCTTTCTATATTAAATAAAATTCGGAAAACTATTTATATTTAATTTCTTACTTTGGACTAGAAGTAATTTTTCCCTTATTTAAACATAAAGCCGTTTTCAAGGAAGAGTATGCAGCGCATGCCAATGGACGACTAACGGTTATAAAAATGCATAATGTTAATGCCTTCGATCTGAGTAAACCTTTGAGGGTTGGAAAAATATAACTTTTTGTTTGCCACCGACAGAGTACGTAGTTGAAAATACAAGGAAGAGTATTATAATGCCACTTACTCCTCTCATATTATTTACAACAACATGTTTCACTGAAACGGCAAAAAGAACTTTAAACTAAATAAATACTTTATTTCTGCTTACGATGGGACTTGCTTTTTTTTTTTGGCCAACTTACCATAGGACTAGTATACTAATACATAACGCTGACCCTTATTTCGTGGCCCAAATGAAGGGGAAAAGACTTGGATAAACAATTACTTCATGAATCTGTCCTTAATAAAAAAGAAGAAAACATGTGAGGTAACTGAAGTCATTTTTTAATGCCTCACGTTATGTATATGTTTTCTTTATAAATTGTCAAGTCACCTTTGTTTAGCTTTTTCTTGATCAATTATCATAATAATCTAACTTATTAAAAGCAAATTATCATGATGCAAATACACACGTATTGAAAAGTCAAATTTGGAAGGTGCGGTGTCTAATTGTGTTTTATAAGTCACGCTTGATTAATTCATTTCAGGTGCTATAATTAATTATCATGTTAATTTCAATGCTGTGGGATTTACTCACGTTATTAAATACTACCTCCGGTTCTTAATATAAGACCCTGTTTTACTTAATATAAGCCTAACATTTTTTTTTTAAGTTACTAGTTAGGCCCAAATTAAATTGGGACCCCCCCGAGACCTGTTGTTAGAAATCATTGTTTATGGGCTAACCCGTCAGAAACATGGGCCAAAGTCAGATCCCTCCCATTCTTCCCCTTTTTTTTGCCTCACATATCCCCTCTATTCGTAGTTCCCACTATAAAAAAATTGACTTTCAGCGGCGACAAAAAGTCGCTGCCGCTGAAAGTATAAAATTTGCCGCTAAAAAGTCGCTGCCGCAGCAGCCGTAGTTGAAAACTTTCAGCGGCGACTAAAAAGGTCGCCACTGAAAGATACTTTCAACGGCGACTTTTAGAAGTTTCAACACTTTTAGCGGTGACATTCTTGTTGCCGCTAAAAGACTTTTCAGCAGCGACATTCTTGTCGTTGCTGAAAATAATGCCTAAGAAGAATTGGCTTTACCAACGCCACGTCATCACCGCCGGCTGCCACGTCATCGTCACCGGCCGCCATATCATCACTAGCCACCTCCACGTCATTGCCACATCACTTCTCCCCGCCACGTCATCGTCCAAATATTTTCACCTTAAATGTGTCTTCTTCAAGGTTCGAACTCGTAACCACCTCCTTTCGTGTCCAATCTTCTTGCCACTGAGCCAGATTGAATTTGTTTATTAATATTGTAAAATAAAATATATATTATTATATTACACTTTCAGCGGTGACATTATAAAGTCGCCGCTGAAGGTTAGACCTTCAGCGGCGACACTGAAAGTCTACTTTCAGTGGCGACCATAGAATGTCACCGCTGAAAGTGAACCCAATAATTCTCAAAAGTATACTTTCAGCGGCAAACTTTCAGTAGAGACTAAGAAAGTCAGCGGCGACTTTTTTGTCGCCGTCGAAAGTCGTCGCCTAAAGCTTTTTTTTTTTGTAGCTCGAAACTTCAGGAGAATTTACACAAGTTCTTCTATCACACACCCTCTCTATTTTCCCCCCAGTCAACTGGACATTTTTTTTTTTCAGTAGAAAAATTAGACGGTTTTAATTAGATGGTAGAAAAATCAAAATTCAGTGGCAAATGCTTTTTGATTAAAAAAAAACAGAGAGAGAACAAGAAATGAAGCAGACCTGGAGGAGTGCAAGATTTGCTCACAGACTGCCTCATCAAAATCAGAATCAGAATGGAGCTTCACTTTCTTCTGTGTTTGCTCTAGAACATTCACAAGTGGCTTTATCCGCAACCACATACTACCTTCTGTCCTTATTATAAGACCCTGTTTGACTTTTATTTTGGTTCTAAATATAAGACCTCAATCTACTTTGTCTCTCATATTTATCCACTTTTTTCAATGATAATCCTTCTAATAATAGTAGTTATAGATAACAAATTTGACTAGCAAGGATATTTTAGGAAAAACAACACATATTCATTACAAATAACTAATTTAACTAAGTTCCTTAATTTCCCCAAATTAGTCAACTAGGTCTTATAATTAGAATCGGAAGTAGTACTTCACAACAATTTTATTATTATTATTATTGTTATTCATTTTATTTTTTCTTCTCTTTTTACAAATTTTTGAATTCATTATTATATTTTAAAAGCACTGAACTAGCTTAACAATGAAGCAAGCAATAAGGAGTGGGGGTAAAGTGCCAAGATGCCCTTCTCTCTAACCCTTCTGAGAGTATGATACACTGATACTTGCAGCCTTACCCTGTCTCCAAAAAGTACAGTGGGACGCAGCTGGAGCAAGAAAGAACAAAGCAAGTAGTGAGTAGCAGCAAAATTTGTAACGTAATTATTTACCAAAAAAAAAATTTCTAACGTAATTCCTTGGAGTTTTGTCCTTCATCAAAATCTCTGCTTGATATTTTTGCCCATAATTGAGTAATAGATGGAATGGAACTCCCCTCTCCTGTTTCGCTCAGAGCCGTTGTTTCGTTATCTCACATCTCACATTCGACGGTGAGTGAGTTTCCTTTCATCTTCATTGATTGCCCCTACCTAGACGTCCCCAAGACTAGTTTCAGGCAATGGACGAAACCCCAAATGAATGTGCCTGGATGCATTCTATCAAGGTCACGCTGGGTTCTCTTGATCACAGGGATGTTCAATCATTCATAAGCAGCATTCCCAGCGTCCCCACTCAACTTCGAAAGCCCAATGAACAAGCTTACTCCCCGAAACTCGTCACCATTGGACCCATTCACAGAGGAACCAAAAGTCACCTTCTTGCCATGGAAGAGCACAAATGGCGTTACATGCTTTCCCTTCTTCACCGAACCCAAAACCCTGTTTCCGCCTTAGACAAATGTGGCACCGTCATTCTTGGCTTAGACGACGCTGTTCGTGCAAGCTATGGAGGCAACATCAGGTATGACTCCCACGAGCTAGCTAAGATTATGCTTTTGGATGGTTGTTTCTTGTTAGAACTCCTTCTTCGATTGTCGCCACCAGAGCTCATGAATTTATTACCAAATGACCATGAATCCCACAACCATGCTTCTGATCCTATAGTTCAAAACGAGGAGTTCCTTTTCTCTGTTCTAACGGATCTGACTCTGCTTGAGAACCAAATACCCTTCTTTGTTATCAAGACATTGGCCAGGATACTTTTTCCCAGTCTCTTCACCAGGGATGCTGATAATCTTGTTTCAGATCTCGCTCTTTCCCTGTTTAGATACCCTTGGATTCGTTGTTCAAGTGTCGCTCACTTTCTCCATCTTTTGCACTTATCCTCCATCGTTGAAGAAGGACAGAAGGTGAAACAAGCTCACCAAGAACTTCGGCGGTGTGCTACCAGGTTGAGAGCTGCTGGGGTTGCAATTCGACCTGCACATTGTAAAAACATCCTCAGATTTAACTTTGGGTTTAGATTCAGCAAAGGGGTTCTAGAAATTCCACCTTTGCATATCGTGAACACCACAGAAATCTACTTGAGGAACTTCATCGCTTGGGAGCAGAGTAGGATCGGAATCAACAGGCAGTTCACTTCCTATGCTCTGTTTTTCAAAGGGTTGATCTGTTCTCTCCAGGATATTGAGCTGCTCGTAGAAAATGGAGTTATAATGAATGAAACCAAGATAAGCAACGAAGATTTACTCGAACTTTTTAGTACAATCACAAGTGGGGCAGACCAAATGGATTCAAGTTACAGTCAACTGTGTGAGGACTTGAACGCATACTCGGCAGTGAACCCCTTGGTGAAGTTCCCTATAATGATGTGCCATTATTGCAGACTGTGTGTAGAATTCATCAAGTTCTTCTGCAAACGCAGCTATAGGATCCTGATTCGTGACCATATCCCTAATGTATGGAAATTGATAGGAGTAATAGCTGCTGCTCTGCTGCTTGCTCTTACTATCATGCAGACCTATTATTCTGCCCGTGACTAAGTAAATTTTGAAGATGAAGTTTCACATGTAAACCCCAATACTGTAGCAGATAGAAGAATGTGTGATTTTCAGAGTTAAAGCCGAGAGAGGCAGGTCTGCAGTGTCCAACTTACTATGAAGCATTTTTATGTGAGAATGTTTATATCAAGACGTAGAATATTTTGATTTTATGAATGTGCCAGAGAACCAATATGAAAATGACAATCAAAGTAAATATCGGTACATTTGACTTCTTCATATTGTGACACGATTGCCAATCACCAAAGTTATCATATGTAAGAATACGCAAGAATCCCAGAAAATTGAATCCGTAGAAATGCATATACCGAAAGAAAGATATTCAGTTGTTCGATTCCAACCAAAGCATGTCTTTCGAACGTAAAGATCAGTATCATATAAGAAGTTAAATAACAGTTAGATTGAACAAAGGGGAAAATTTAAGGTCCGCTTGAACCAAAGCAACCCGTAATTATAAGATATCCTTGAACGAGTTTTGGCTCTCAGAAAGTAGCTGCAGACCATTCTTGCGAAGGATCTCTGCTTGAAGCAACAACAGTGCTCCCCGATGAGCCTTTTGCCCTGCGCTCTCAATGATCTCATCAGTTGAGGAGCTCATAAGCTTCAGAAGAGATGCCACATCAGCCATCTCAATTCCCACATCGATCGTCGGCTCCTCATTGCACAGTTCTCTTAGCCGTTTCAATGTACTTTCTCTATGAACCCTAATTGCTTCGTAGATTCCTCCGCTCTTTGGTCTCTTAGATAGTTGTTCAGCTGCCATTGAACCTGTCGGCCCCAGCTCAAATCGATCTTCTTTGCAATTGAATTTCCCTAAGCAATTTAGCGAACACGTTACCTTCATAAATTGCGCGAAGAGAAAACAAACATTGGAAAATAGAATCTCACCAGCTGAGAGATCTTGGCTGCTTTTTGTATCCAGCGCCTCGAAAGCGATATTGGATTTGCTCGCAATGGAAGATGGAGATGGTCTTGTATCAGTGGAATGCTTACTCATTGTGGAAGGAGAGGAAAATTGCTGATTGTCTTGGGCCATGGATTGCTTGAGAAGAGGAGAAGAGGAGGAAGAGGAGATGTAGGCGAACTCCGACGGGGAATTTGGTTTGAGTCTTTTGCGTCCATTATCGTGACCTTCAGCTTCAAGGTTTGCCTCTTGGGATGCACCGTCGTCTCCTAATGGCGAAGCAAGAGGCACGAACTTGGCAAAAGCGTTGTTGTCGCTGCTGCTTCTTTTTCTCTGGCTCTGCTTTTCAACAATGGCAGATTCCTCCATAGCTACGAGACAAGAGACAGTAAAGAGAAAATGAGGATCTCAACAGGATAATCTAACTTCCAGGTCAAAAAAAAAAAAAAAAAGCACTCTTTCCTTCCTACAGCTAGAAAACCATTTTGCCACAATTTAAAGTTATATTCTTTTCCCCGACAGTTGACGATCAATATGCTAGTAATGGAAGAAAAGCATAAACTTGCCAGGAGAACAATATCTCTGCAGATTCTTGTACCTGAACGTCTCAATGCCATCTTCGCATCCGTTTTTAACTTCCTCGTAGTTTAGAAGTATTGTTTTAGATTCATTTTCATTTATTGATTGAAATCCAATATCAAATATACTCTGTGAAATGAACTTTGCGATTAACAGAAAATTCTTGTAAAACGAAGGAAAAGAATCATTCTCTTTTATTTTATGATGGTAGGCGGTACTAAATGTCAAACGGGATCTTTTTTTTTTTTTTGGGTAATTACAAAGGCAAGAACAAAGCTTGAAGAGTTAATCAACTACAAAGGAAAACATAATCAAACGGTATCTCCAAAAATCCATGTGCGAACAAGTTTTCATTCTTGGATTTGAACCTTCGCACATCAACTGTTTGTGATATTGACACAGATAACACAACGCGCGGAGGCTAATCTTGCAATGACACTTCCCTGTTCTATCTCAGTGACTTTACTAATCTTGTTCCACATGTGAATTGTGTAAGTCTCCCCATCATATAGTAATTCAATAAACCTATTTCCCATCCATTTTGATTCTGTTTCATCTTCTGGCTTCTTGAACAGCCTGACAATTTTAATCCAATCTACAGGGAAAAATGCCTTTGGAGGCAAATCATGAGGTTGTAACCTGGGGAGCTTCCAACTCTCCCTATAACTCTGGAAACCAAGTAAGGCCCATTATAACCCCATCTATTACCATCAAAAGTTGTTGCAAATTCTTGCATAAAATCTATTAGAATTGGATGGTTAATGTCAAATATCATGACTGCACCATTTAGTCTTGTCCATTTTCTAGTCACTGAATCCACACTCTGGGCTCCTACTGCGTTTCTGAAATGTGTGAAATCCTTCAGAATTATCATATCCGCATCCATGTAGACTCCTCCATACCTGTACAACATTGCTAGTCGTATGAGATTGGACAGATTCTGGGACAAGGGGATATTTCCAGGGTCTTTATCCCCGCTTCTGATCTCTTCAAGCCATGATTCAGCTGGAGTGTCCTTGAACAAGAATGGCAAATCCGGAGTAATTGCCGTAACTTTGAATCCACGGTCAAGAAATGGCTTCAGAATTCTGTAACCACGCACGGAATCCATAGTGTTTGATAGAATCACCAAGCATCCTTCAGGATAGACACTGAAGAATGAATCCAGAGTCAGGAGTTCTCTTTTCCCATATGACTTTGCCGGTGATAACCATATAATGTGAAACAATGTGGAACAGTTTTTGTTGAGGAAGCTCAGGATTCTCATGTGAAAATGCTGTGATGAATTGCACGGTTTCAGTATATCAAGCTTTGGAAGTTGAATTCTGAACCAAGCCATTCTTTCTTCCCTGGACAAGTTTTCTGGTGGCACAAGAGGATCTTCCTCTTCCTCTTCCTCTGCTTCAACACTTGGTGATTCAACTGGTGCATCATCAGCTTTTGGAGTTTCTTGTTTGCCAAGAGTTTTCTGAATACTTCTCAGGCCATACGTTGCTCGCGGGGAATTAGACAGGATACTAACAGCATTGATGACGAGTAAGAAAACCAGAAACATGATGGTGTAGTAGAGAACAGATTTGGCTGCGCGGTTTCTTATCCAGTAATCAAAGATCTTCGGAGACGTTTTCTCATCAGGAGCAGCCATGACCGACTTGTGCAGAGGTAAGTTTCTATGACGAAAAAATCGACGCAACTTTCTGTCGAGGAGAAACTGAAGACCTTTAAGAAGTTGCATATAATGTAAGCTCTGAGCACATCTATAGAAGCATCAGACAATTTTAAACATATAAAGGAAGTTTATACATCGCAACTGTAAATATGAACAATGTAGGAAGTGGGGTCTAATGTGTCATGCGTGGGAAAAATGGAAACCTTGATCATATCAGGAAAATTATATATGTGCCTCTTGAAATAGCTAATAAGCCAATAAGGCTTTTCTACGTTTTTATTTGGATCAGTCCCAGGTCTTTAAATTTGGTGCTTTCAGTGTTCCATTCAAGAAAGGGGACTACTATTATATTAATCATATGGTTTTTCATCAAGGAATCTACTGATATGTTCAATCTGGTTTAGTGCAGCATTTATTTGCTGCTAACATCAAATCTTCAATGCCTTTTGTTGCCGTGCTTTTCCATTATTTTACACGTTTTCATGTTTTGGTTTTCAACGTGTTGCTATTATATTCTATTTTGACATTAATACCTGTGTCTTTTAATCGGGCTTTATGTTGACAGCAATTGAATTGTAGCCATGTAAGGGTAAAGCAACCTATATGTATATACGTGTGTATGTGTGAGTATCAGCGTCACTGTAATGTTCCATCATCGTTCACCTTCATCCGTAGAAAACGTTTCTTTTCTGTCACCAGGAACAAAAAAAAAAAAAAGTTTCTTTCTTAGTCCTTTTAATTGTCTTAAACAGTAACATGGACAATCAGTGACCAAATAATATTAATAGCATGGATATTGATGCCATGACAAATCAATCAAACAGCAGCAATTTGGATCCTCTTGATACAATGATTTGACCTTTTTTTTTTATTTGATAGATATTAATCGTCCTTTTTTCAATTCACAACTTAATTTTCGAATTCATAAATAAAAACCTATTTTCATCTGATTTTTTAAAAGCAAACTTGAAAAGGGAAAAAAGAAAATCTTAACTATATGAAAATAACTTGAATAGTAAAGATGAGTTTATATATCAACCATTTCTTATGTCCCAAGTATAGATTATTCAAATTAATTTAGATGATCGAGATTCTTCAACTAAACAATTTATCCCATCTCTCGATTGATGAAGAATATAAAATTATAAATTGCATTTTTTTAATAAAAGTAAAAAAAAACTACTGATTCTTTTATTCAGAGTGACAAAAGGGTTCATATTCTAAGAATTATTAATCATCTAAGGCCACAAACAGCCCAAACTTACAAAACATCAACATAATGAGAAATGTTGACAATTAATTGAGAACTTGAACCTCACAATACTATCCCTATTTATTTGAGGAGAAAGATGATACAGGACAGGAGCAAAACCATGAATTTGCATTACCTAAATTGTTGATGAATTATGAGCTTTTTTTTTTTTTTCCAGAGCAGCGACAAGATACTAGGCTAGCTCATCCCAGCCCACTTAACTGGGCAAGATTTTAGAAATTGAAATAAAAATAGGTGATAGAAAAATTAACATTGCTCCTATCATGATTTTTTTTTCGTGTTAGGGAAAAGTGTAAGGAATAAGTTAGTTTGTTATTGAGATAGCTTATATTATCTGCTCAAGTAAAGAGAACTAATAATTTATATCTATTCTAAATATCTAGTAAATAACTTTGTTTTTCAGGGCTTTGTACAATGCAGGGGCGCACCTTTTAATATATAGAGTAATTTTAGAGTACGTTAATTATCTTCTAGTTTGTTGCCAAACAACTTGAAAGTATAACGTTACAAGTTTTGCTTTTCTGGTCAGAATTCTTGCTGCTTCAAAGATTCTATTATTCTATCACAAACAAGTGTTGTGAGAACAATTTGTCTTGAAACTTTCCTATTTCAACCTTTAATTCTGTTCTCCACTTGTTCCACAGATAAGGGTTGCTACCCTATTCTTGCTGGTGCTTTTTCCCTTGTGGTTGAGATGTTTAGGCTATTTTAATCACCTATTAATAATATAATTCTGAAATGTCTATTCAAAGTGCTTTGATAAACAACCACTTAGCATTGCAAAGAAATTAGATAAACTCATCAAGCATAGCCTGGCACATAGGATACTGGAGTGGGTGAGCCAGGTATGGGTTTGTTTATGAAAAGATTCAACCAGATCTTGCCCATCTGGTACAACGCTTAAAAGTCTGGTCAGCCATTTTATTACCTGGTGAAGCAACAAAAAAAAAAAAAACTGTTTTTTTTCTGCAAATTTTAGGGGGGAAAATCGTTTTTTTTTTTTTTTCATTTCATGATTAGGGAGAAATTACCCATGAAATCCCTTGGTCAGATTAACTGTGTTCTCCCATGTTCTGCTTTTAAAGATGGAATTTTAGCTATTAAGAAAAGCATAGAATAATTGTTTTTAGCTTATTCAAAAAAGTTTCCATTTTTATCTTTGCTCAGTGATTTTCTTCTTCAACTCCCAAAGCACTTCTAACCTAAATAACTAAGCCATAAAGTCTCTACTGCACATTGTGTAAGTAGTAGAGACTTTGACCTCAAATAACCAAAGTAAAAGTCAACATTCGACCTACATATTGATATGCTAAGATTCAAAAACGTTTTGTAAGGGAGAGAACCTCACATGTAAGAAATTTTAGCATGCACAGCAAGAAGGATTCAGCTAATGAACTGTTGACTGCATCTTTGGTCCAGAAAAATCTAATACTCATAAGTCGAAGTTTGGTATTAAAATGTTTACAGAGTTTAATGTGTAAAATTACACTTTTGCTTGATCTTAAGGAACCAGTAAGGCTTTGCATTTAGATGAGTAAGCTTGTTCCTCTTTAACTTGTTATGGCAGCACAGACAACACAGTGTTGGGAGATTATTCTAGCCATCACACTTCCCTCTTGAATCTCTAATTCTCTGCTTCTCTTGTTCCACAGGTGTATTGCATACGTCTCTCCCTCATACAACTCGTTGATCTTGCTCTCTACCCATCTTGATTCTGTCTCATTCTCTGGTTTACTGAAAAGCCTCCCAATTTTAGCCCAATTCACAGGGTAGAAAGCCTTTGGAGGCAAAATTGTGAGATTGTATGCTGGGGTGCTTCCCAATCTCTCTATAACTCTTGAAACCAAGTAAGGCCCATTGTGTCCCCACTTATTCCCATCAAAAGTTGAAGCAAATTCCTGCAAGAATTCCAGCAGAATTGGATGGTTCATGTCAAATATCATGATTGCCCCATTTAGTCTGTTCCATTTCTTAGTCACTGAGTCCACACTCTGTGCTCCTATCACATTCCTCAAACCCGCCATGTCTTTTACTACTATGATATCTGTGTCCATATAAACACCTCCATATTTGTACAAGAAGGCCAGCCTTATGAGATTAGCAAGATTCTGGGACAATGGGATGTGTCCTGGATCTTTGGTTCCACTGTTCAGCTCTTCAAGCCATGCTTCAGCTGGTGTGTCCTTGAGCATGAAAGGCAAATCTGGTGTGACTGCCAGAACTTTGAAGCCTCGATCAAGAAGGGGTTTCAGAATTTCATCCCCTCGTCTGGAATCCATTGTTCTTGATACTATTAGCAGGCATGCTTCAGGGTGGACCTGAAAGATTGTATCCATGGTGAGAAAATCTCTCTTCCCAAAGGACCTTGTTGGTGAAAGCCATATGATGTGAAACAGCAACGAGCAGCCTGTGTTGAGGAAACTCATGACTCTGTTATGAAACTGCTGTGACAAGCCGTTTGATTTAAGAATCTTCAGTTCTGGAAGTCTTCTTCTGAACCAGGCCATTCTCTCTTCCTTGGATACATGTTCTGGGGGCATAAGAGGATCTTCTTTTTCATCTTCTTCTTCAGTCTCTGTCTCTTGGTCTTCACCATTTTCCTTGGCAGAAAGCTGGGTAGCGTCAACACTGTCGACAATCGATGGCTCAGATGGTTCATCAGATTGAGGTATGGTAAGTTCATCTGCAGATTGCTGAGCAGTCTCTGTCTCTTCATTTTCTTGAGGAGAAAGCTGGAAGGCACCAACACTATCGACAATTGATGACTGATCAGTGAATTCTTCAGGTTGAGGCAACCTTAGTTCATCTGCGGATTGTTGAGCAGTCAAATGAATGGACTGTAGGATTGAAGAACTTGAGAAAATATTCTCAGCATAGACGAAGAAAAATATAAGAATAAATGCAATGATATAGAAGATAGGGGACTTGGTGGCGCGGCTTTTAAGCTGATAATCAAAGAGTTTCTGAGACATTTGTTTAGCACCCATGATGCCTTTGAAGGAACAGAGAAATATGGAATGAATGAAAGAAACAAAAAGCCTCTTCAATTTGTTGCAGGTTACAGAAGAAGTAGAAGCAGTTTTTAAAGATTCTGTGGGGAGGGGCTGAATCATCACAACTATGGCCCACTGCTACAAGTAGATTATCTATGATGAAAATGTTTTTTTTTTTTTTTCTTGGATCACTTTTGGGAATGACCGAGTTTTTACGTAAATGCATTTATTGTGTTCGTTTTCGTTAATGTTTCTTTCGAAGCAATTACAAGTACTCGTTAAGGAAGATTGCCATGGCTCTGGCAGCCAATTTCGACATTAACTTGAAGCAAGAACCATGATGGACTCTTTCATACATCCATTATAAATTACAAGGGCTTTCCTTTCATGCATATTAAAGTTACTCACTTTTCTCATTTATGATCTAAATAGATACAATATGATTCCTGAAATGGCAAAAAAACAATGATCTGTCATCACCATTCACCGACTTGTTATTGAATATTATCACAAATTAATGAGTTCAGATTTTCAATTCCTTTCCATACGCCATTGATTGCTATTTAATGGAGTATAAAATAATCATATGCTCTTAAGGAGTCCTGTCCATATCAAATTAGATACAATATCATATATTTTTTGTTACTAAATTTTTCAACCAAAATAAAATGAAGATTTTTTTTTTTTTATAATATGATACATATTTGCAA